TGCTCACGTGAAGTGCAATATTTCTATAATCAGATTAACAGCACAGAATAAAAGGTGTTTTTATTTACAATAACATTTACTTCAGCTCTGTTTCTCAACCCTTCAGCTGAGGATGTTTGGGTTTGGGTTTGCAAAGTGGATAAAAACTGGCCCCTGTCATATGAGGGATCTCTTTTGGGGACGTCTGGTAGGAGTCAGGTTTGTTGATGTCGGCCTGAATGCAGTACAGCTACAACACTCTTTGTTTCTAATAAAAATGCAGAATTATTTACACATTACACACTAAAATGAATTCATTATTTATGTGCAAAGTCACAAAAATGGCAGTTTGTACTAAACAAAGCAGGGCTTCACCCAAATCCTATCTGTGATGCTACGAATTAGGACCAAGATGGATCCATCTCAAGCCTTAAATGAGCAAAAACCACACAGTAAGATCAATTATTGTCTCACAAGCTAACAGGAGGTGAGCTAAACTCACTCGTAGTTCACGTGAAGTGCAATATTTCTATAATCAGATTAACAGCACAGAACAAAAGGTGTTTTTGTTTACAACGTTTACTTCAGCTCTGTTTCTGAACCCTTCAGCAGAGGATGTATGGGTTTGGGTTTGCAAAGTGGATAAAAACTGGCCCCTGTCATATGAGGGATATTTTTGGGGACGTCTGTTAGGAGTCAGGTTTGTTGATGTCGGCCTGAATGCATTCAGTGGCTTCAACATACTGTTTCCAATAAAAATGCTGAATTATTTACACATTACAAGCGAAAATGAATTCATTATTTATGTGCAAAGTCACAAAAATGTCAGTTTGTATTAAACAAAGCAGAGCTTCACCCACATTCTATCTGTGATGCTACGAATTAGGACCAAGATGGATCCATCTCAAGCCTTAAATTAGGAAAAACCACACAGGAAGATAAATTATTGCCTCACAAGCTAATAGGAGATGAGCTAAAGTGCAATATTTCTACAACAACGACAAATTAAATCAACAGCACAGAATAAAAGGTGTTTTTATTTACATAACATTCACTTCAGTTCTGTTTGTGAAGCCTTCAGCTGAGGATGTTTGGGTTTGGGTTTGCAAAGTGGATAAAAACTGGCCCCTGTCACATGAGGGATGTGTTTTGTCTGTTAGGAGTCAGGTTTGTTGATGTCGGCCTGAATGCATTCAGTGGCTTCGATACTCTTTGTTTCCAATAAAAATGCAGAATTATTTACAAATTACACAATAAAATGAATTCATTATTTATGTGCAAAGTCACAAAAATGGCAGTTTGTATGAAACAAATCAGGGCTTCACCCAAATCCTATCTGTGATGCTACGAATTAGGACCAAGATGGATCCATCTCCAGCTTTAAATTAGCAAAAACCACACAGTAAAATAAATTATTGTCTCACAAGCTAATAGGAGATGAGCTAAAGTGCAATATTTCTGCAACAACAACAAATTAAATCGACAGCACAGAATAAAAGGTGTTTTTATTTACAATAACATTTACTTCAGCTCTGTTTCTCAACCCTTCAGCTGAGGATGT